CCCCAACTCTCGTCTCCTAAAAGCCACACAGGACACCTTTCCTCCTCTTCTCCGACACAGAACCGTCTCTTCCCACTAAATATGTTGCGTCTCAGAGGGCTCCCGGGCAGTTTGGACCCTCCAGGTCCTACCGGGACCAGAGGGGACCAGTCCTGCAACCCTCCCCCGGCTCCATCACCCCCCCGACGTGGCACCAACCTCCTGTTTTTACCTTCCACCTTCTCCACTTTGCAAAGCGCCACCACCGCCTCTCGCAGCATCCTCCATCCTGTGCAGCAGAAAGCGATAAGCAGACCCGGAGCATTCACTACCAAGCTAAAACAGATTTTAACGTTCCTGTTGTGAGAAAGAGCTTCTCCCCCCTCCCCTTCAAAGCACTTCCAAAGTTGAAAGCATGTCCTTGATTGCTTCTAACCTGCCAGATACTTCACGGGCTTCCACGCAGACAACTCACACCTTGTACCTTTTTGTGTGATGTGCTCGGTTTTCGAAGGCAAATCTTATTGTTTCAGGTGTCTTTTTCTCTCAGTTTTTCCCAGCTACCCAGCCATGGAGGATCCCTGCTGAGCTCAGTTTTTAACAAGGTTTATTCCGACCTGTAAAACCAGGTACCTTCACCTCCACCTCCACCCAAGCTTCCTCAGCACTCCGAAGCAATCTAACAGACCCTAAAAATCACATCTGATAGAAATATCTTAAATCCCCACAAATTCAGAGTTTGCGTATTACTTTTGCCCATGTTCTTCTTCCAGTTTTACATTATCATGTTCCAAATTGAAAAGGGGTTCTCAACATTTTAAATCACTTCCTTTGACCAGCACTGTATTTAGAACACACCATTTCACAGCAAAGTTTTTCAGGATAACTAGTATTTAATTGAACTCTATTTTTGCACTGTTGCTACTTTACTGGAAAACAATAACTGCAATTTTTTAAAAATAAACCTCCATTCCCCTCAGATGTGTAAGAGGGCTACTACTGCTTACATACTGGGGTTTTTTTTTTTAAGAGCAGGTTTTCCCATTTTTCCACTACTTTCTTCCACTGCTCAGCTGCCCAGCTGTCTTCAACACCTTCAGCCAGTTCCACTACCTTTCATCATCTGGTTTTGACTTCTAAGTTCAAATCCAATTTTCTGATGAATCCTGGAAGTCGTTGGGGATACATCAGTTTGTCAGGGTAAGTCTTCACACCCACTCTGCCAGTTCACAAAGAGCTTTTTTCACTCACATTCAGCTTATGCCTTGGCTACCTAGGATTAGGTGCCAGCTCTGAATCAAGTCTTTGGAGCTCTTTAATCAGATTGATTTTAATCATTTTTGCCACAGTACAAAAGGGGGCCATGTGGGTCAGCACACAGAGCACCCCACAAATGAACCATCTTACACTGCCTTTCCTGTGCCGTCCAAACACACTGCTCTGCTCCAGAGATCCACCCCCAAGGACAAGTCACTCCAACGCTTTCCAAGAAGTTGCTAGACAGAACTTCAGAGCTTTTTAAAATTCTCTTTACTAAGTCTCCAGCTATATCCAGGCTTTGTGGTCACCTTGACACATCTGTCATTTGCTCAGTTAAAGTTATTTCCTTTGGAACCCAGATGATCTTTCTACACATCTTTGTGACCTTTACTACTCATTAAACTTCAGTCAAGCAGGCTCTTACATTTAGAAGTTTATTTTGGAGCCTGATGCCCTCTGCATGTTCTTTATAGGAAAAGGAAGTTGCAGCAACTTGCATTTCCCCTGAACACAATCTGACACTAATAGCTGTAACTCATTATTTTGGGCTTTCTTTAGCTGCCATCTGACACCCCCTCCCCCCAAAAAACCAAACCACGAGACAAAACTTTGTCAAGGCTGCATTCCCAGTTGTTGCTCTTACACATTCTTGGCTTCTTCCTTGTTCTTTGGTTTCTCTTTCCCCACTTTTATAGCACAAGACACCCACTTATCACAAACATCCAGACAAAGCACTTCATCAAATACCCTGGCTTTTGAGCGTTGCTTTTATTTTGGGGTGATGGATGTGGCTCTACAACAACAGCTTAACTAAGTCTTGCAAGATAGTTGTTTATTTCTACAACTTACGGTGTGACCTGACAAACTATTTTTTTAGAACTGGAGAGAAGGGAATCTCTGTATCACAACCACAAGTTAGTGGAAATGCTAATTCTAGTTTTGTCTCAATTCACTGAGAGCTGTGTCTTTCCTTCAGCAATCAGAAAGAAGTAGGACAGGCAGAGGACCTTCTGCTGGATCTCTCTCCATTTTCTAAAAATAGAAATATGGTAAATTTACACACAGAAGTCATCACTCAACAGAAGGCCATGCACGAAGAGTCAGTGCTTCAAAACAGCATAATAAAAGGCAGATAACTTCTTACTAAAGATTCCCCACTACCTTTCGTTTTCTTGACATCTGCATATGCAAGACATCTGCTCCCCAGCATCCCTGGCATTCCTGTAATCTTGGTATCACTACCTTCCAACTGCAGGGTGTTGTTGCAGCTGTGTCTGCCCAGATACACATTCCTACCTTCAGCCCCATGGAATCTGCAGTTGTCCAGAGAATAGAAATACTTGGAAACTGTCTAAAGACACGGGACAATTCAAAGGCGGTGTTGTGTGTAGCTCAGACTAGTAGAGAAGTAAAAATCTAAGCAACTAGCTTGTCATAAAACAACATACAAAATGAAAACTCTCCTTTGAGAATTTCACCTTCAGATGCTCTTAAAGCAAAGGGAGGTGAAGCAACATGCTATTTGGTGGAAAGACACAGAAAGTCTTTTTTCCTGACTTCGATTCATCCCACTGACTACTGAAAGAGCTTTCTGACAGACTACACCCTGCATCTTATAAAGCATCAGCTGAGCTGTGACTACATACATTTACCTCCACTAACCATGAGAATGTACTGACATAACCTTTAAAGAAAAAAAAAAAAAAAAGGCTTAAACAAGAAGTTTCTAGTTTGTCTTTGCAGCTGGCTGGGAAGCTGGGCTGAGGCCCAGTTCCCAGTGGACTGGCAATCTGGTTACATGCCTCGGGGTTTCTAAGTGATTCTTAGGGGCCGAGACCCCCACAGCGCCTCTGCATATCGCAGGCACAGTGCTGGCTTGCACAGTACCATGTTACTCTCCCGATTTTGTGCCAGACCAGTGAGACAGCTTTTATCAGAGATGAAGACACTTCATGGAAGAAGTATATGAGGAAAAGTGTTGGTCTCACGCTCTCTCACTCCCCTGATGTGTTCAAAGGCCAACTCTGGGTTCACTGGGGGAGAGAAGAGTCCGAGTGCTCCTGAACCATTAGGGCACTATTTCACACCACAGCTTCAGGGCACATACATGTGAGGAAGAAAAGACTTAGTACCATTCATAGCTGTTTGTTTCTGACACCGAGCCAAGAGAACCCAAGGTCCCTTTGCCACATTCACTTTAAGGCCACAGACATAATGACAAGAGAATATCCTCCAAGGCACTGCCAGCAAGGAATCCTCACTACCCACAAGAGGTCACTGCTGTTCCAGACAGTAATATTTTTTCCCCATCACCATTATCCTGATCTAACAAGATCTAACAACATCCTGATCTTCATCTCTGATGAAGGCAGACAGCTCCAACACCAGCACATGTACCTCGGTCGCCTTTTGCCATCCCTGCTCCATGGCCACAGCTTAAGACAGAAGCAGTTTCAAGTAGGAGAAAAAAAAAAAAAAAAAAAAAAGTAGAGCCCAGTTTCACTGCACTCATTAAAAAAAAAAAAAGGTATGTACTGAAATAACCAGATTTATTTTTTTTTTTAATCAGCCATTAGAGGCTCAGTTTGGCAAAAAACTGTTTAATGTTGTAGTTTCCAAATCACCATGCAGTTCCTCTTAAGAAAGTTTCTTGTACTCACTTCTCAGGGCTCAGCGTGGAGCCAGTAAGACACCCAGCTCCCACCCTTCTCCGAGGAATGCAACATTAACTGCATCACCCAAAACCTCTCACTGACACAGATCTGCACAGCCTGGCTACTCCCGTGCAAGACACTAGGGATACATGACAACATCTAACCAAGGGTTAACATAAACCTGATTCTCTGAAAACATAAACCTCTGGAATCAGAACATAACAAAAAGCTAGCCAACAGTTTTACCAGCACCTGAGCTCTTCACTTCCAGGAGATCCAGACCAACTTTTTAAGTCATCACCTGATGCTGAGGTTCACTGCATCAGCTGATAGGAAGTCAGGGAAGCATGGTTAAGAGAAGGCTTCTGAAAGACACAGCAGCCTTCATGTTTGTCCTTTGCTATTTTTTCTAGCATGTGACAAAAAAAAAAATTAAAAATCTCCATTTCTAGCAGTCCTGGCACAGATTAAAGACCTAATCCTTGACTTTATTAACCCCATCTATTCTATTTTGGACACTAATACAGACAGCTTCTGATATGGCATTGATGAAAGACATCTAGGGCTGCTCAGGAAATTCCAAAAAGATCACTGACAGCCTTCATAATAATTTCTCAGGAACTGCCCCCTCTAGACAACAACAACTTGAAACAGATTTAGAAGAACCACATAAAAAACCCACAAGGAAAAACATTCCCTACATTATCTATTAAGTGCACTAAGCCGCAAGGCTGTCAGTTAAATAGGTGCAGACACTGCAGCCAACTCTCATGCGGCTTTTCTTCTCAGAAAAATAGTTTTCAGAGATCTGAAAGGTTTTCCTTGACAAACATGGGGGTTAAGACAGTTCTGTAAGAAGTACAACTTGGTACTACCAAGCCGACTAGGAGGAATCTGACATTTGTATGTGAAGAGTCACCCTGGCAGCTTGGCGCAGTGAGAGGCCACGTTACATACCGGGAAGA